GCCCAAGGAGGTGAGGCTGTCCCTGCATCCCTGCGCGGGTCTAAGGGGCGCTGCAGTTCCCCACAGCGCTCTAGGTTCTACTTTCTCACGTGGGAGATCTGCGCCTCCAGGCTGGTGTGCTTAAAATCACCTTATTTTCTTTTAAATTTTATTTTAAAGAAAAAAGACAAAACAGAAAAAAATAACAATATGATAGAGGGTAACAGTGGTTAATACACTGCATTTTGGGTTGTTGTTCTTTGTTTCTTTCTTTATCTATTGATACTGGGAATCAAACTCATGACCTCAGGCTTGCTAGGCAAGCGCTCATGCCACTGAGCTATATCCCTGGCCCTTTTTTTGTTTATTTGTTTTTGTCTTTTTAAGACAGGGTCTCACTATGCAGTTCAGGCCGGACTTGAGCTCACTTTGTAGCCCAGGCTGGTCTTGAACTTCCAATGATCCTCTTGCCTCATCCTCCGCAGTGCTGGGATTATAAGTGAGCCCCACCATGCCTGACCAAAATGTCATTTTTAAAAGTGATGATGTGATTCTTGATTCATTAGGTCAGCTTAAGAAATTAAGAGAAGATTAACTTAATAGATAAGGAGTTCTCCGCCCTCGGGTGTGGAAGACTCTCCTGGGGCCTGGACGGCACAAAGGGGAAGGAGGAGAAACCTATCTGCTTCTGTTTCTTTGGAGGAGCTCCAGTCCTAGCCTGCACCCTGAACGTCGTTTCCTGGCTTCCGGCACAGACTCTTCGGCTTCCGGCTCAGGTCCTTCGGCTTCCTGGGTAGATGCTTCAGCCTTCTGTGGCAGACCCATAGGACTCCTGATTCCGACTTGCCCGGGGTCACTGCAGTGAGCCCCAGGCCTGCACTGACTCTTCCGGCCTCCAGGGTGCGGACGCCCCCTGCACGCTTCCTCACCCGACTCTGTGGGTGACCAACCTAAGCCAATCTTGTAAATTCTTATACATTTGTTTTTTTCATTTATTCAAAGCATTTTTGTATAATCTTACAATTATAGCACAGTCATATAATAAAAGAATATGAAATAATAAAAGAATAAAAGAATATGAAAATGCAGAGAGGAATAAAGCCAGTGTCTAGGCCTTTAAAATAGAAGCTCTTGAAAAAAGTTACACATTTTACAAATAGGATTACAGAAAAATTTAGGAGAAACTAAAATTGCCTTCATAACATTATATTACCAAATGACACATCACTCAGTTTGTAGCAAGCAGTTTTATGTTAAGTACATGTTTGTATCCTGTGAGCTGACACCTACTACATTTTACATTCAAGTCGAAATAATTCAGCACCTTTTTAGCTCAAAGAATGAATGCAGTGCTTTGCGCTCAGAAGTGGGCCAGAAGTTGGGTGCCAGGAATGAAACTTAATTTGCAGATGAAATATACTGATTGTGGATAGTAATAAAAAAATAAAAATTATAGAAAAGGGGACTTTTAATCTTTTAATGTACTGTTAGTTTTAAAGCAAATTTCTTAGAAACAAAATATCTGCTGACCAGAATTTCAATCTCCTAAAAATTCTCTCTGGGTGTCAGGAAAATCTTGGTAAACTGTGTTTCCTCTAAACTTTGAGCATCTGGAATGTTTACAAATGTGACTATCTTATGAGATTTCAAAGAGCAAGAATTGTTATGACAAATAATTCCTAGTGAATAATTACACAGAATTTGTAAATAAAGTTATCATATAAAAATACAAAGATTTCTAGACATTGGCCAGTTGCACACTCGTTTATGTCCCGGTTCTGTGGGAGACAGATGAGTCTCAAGGGCCGCGATGTCTTTAAGCCACGCTGTGGGCTGAGTAATCGTGAAACCGCTAACGTGGCAGGCAGTGAGCTCACGAAATTATTTTCCATGGTTCCCAGCCTCTGTCAGGTAAAAGCTGCCTCTCCTCAGTGCTCAGGGTTCTGTGTTGTTTCCACACCCTCAGCTCGGTGAGACAGGACTGAACTCTTTCTGTTATGAATTGATGACCCTCACCAGCTGACCGTTATGTGAGTTTTGACTTTTATTCAAGGAAAAGACCTCTTCAGGTTCAAGTAAGAGCAGGGGGAGCATCAGCAAACATCAGACAGGAGTTGGACAGCTCAAGCTCCGTAGTAAAACTCCTGAACGTTGAAACCCACAGTGTGGAGTTCTTTCTAAGTGTTTGGAAGGATGGGAGGGAAGGGATAGTCACAAAAGGAATAAACGAGAACCTTTAGCTTCCTAACTGAAACACGTTTTTTGCAAAATAAACCAAATATTAAATGCTGTATTTAACGGACATCATAGGGATTTGAACTTTCTAATTATGAGAAATACATATGTGCATATAATTAACTTTTCTTTTTATAAATTAAAATGGCCATGAAAAATAATAGTGGTTACAGTTGAAGTTGTATGGACATGTACTTTTAGTTGTGAAGAACGAAGTAAGATGAACCTTGTGGGGAAAGGACTGTGATTGCTAATGGATTGATTACTGATGGTCGGCTTATGATCCCCAGTGAACTGAGTGCATGGGGTGCTGGGTGGAGGAGTCCTGCCTGAGGATGGTTCCCATCAGCTGAGAGGCAGAAATGGAAAGGGTAATGAATTTCTCCTGTTGGTCTTAGTTATATTCCTGGTTCCACTCAAAGGTGATTGAGATGAGTGATGAGGGTGGCAGTCCAAGAGACTGTAAGCCCCCTGATCCCAGACTTCTAGCTCTCATGTTTCTTATCTCTTCTACTTTCCTTTTTTCATCCGCAGGTACCTCGTTCTCGGGACCTGTCACTGTAGTTAATACCAACAGAACCTAATGGGTGACAATGACATCTTTCATATCATTGAGGGTAGAGACCATGTTCTGTGGTGCCAATGCCAGCACACGAGCGCCTGGCTGCTAGTAGGTCTTCAGGTGATGACCGATGGGTAAACAGATAAAAGAGCTTATTGAGATTTCTACAGATGCGCTTCTCTCATGCATCCAAAGGTCTTGATGTTGGCTAGTTCTTGATGCAGGGGTAAAACTCTTTCTGAGACAACAGATGTTAAATCTGGAGACTCCAGTCTGGCTCAGTGTTCATACTGACAGTAGTTTCACTTAAGCAAGTACATTAAAGTACCTCTGTTAGAAAAGACTACAATTTGAAGGAGTCATGCTACAATCCTAAACTGAAATGCTCTTAAAGGCAAACAAGGTGTCCCACAGCTCAGACTCCAGCTCAGTGAAAGTTCCACCCGTATTTATTGGTGTGTGCGGGCGGATAGGGACCATGAGTGTCATCCCACCCACCCCGATGACTACTTCTTCTCCATCTCTTGTCCCTTTTATCATGCTATGTACCCAGGAAGTGCAAAAGCATTCGTAGTTGCTGTTGACTTTACGAATCTGTGACATATAAGATGGGACGCAAGCTCCTCTTTAAAATTTTACCTAGTATGTCCTAACATGGCAAATGCTTTGGTTGAGATTTTATTTTATTTTTTTTGAGGTTTTAATACTTGTTAA